CCTCAACTTCTTCCATACTCTGGTAGCCTTTCTGCCTGCCTCTCTCTCTCTCTCTCTCTCTCTCTCTCTCTCTCTCAGCAAAGGAGTCAATTTCTTTGGTTATGCCAATCATCTGCCTTTCTGTTTTAAGAGTGGTCTTTTCCAAAATCAAATAATACAAACATTTATTTTCCAAACACTGACTTAGCATTTTGGATGTCAACCACTTTTAGTTCATTAGTTCTTATCTAAAAATAATGTTCAGAAAAGGTCACTTTAGAGATATTTTAATAATTATAGCATAAGTGCTCCTATATTAGAAGATTTAAATTTTGCCAATTGTAGACATTTAATATAAGGAAAATAACACCAATCATAAACCCAAACCAACTCCTCCAGAGTATTTTACATGATTTTTTTTTTTTTTTGTGGTACCAGAGATCAAACTCAGGATCTTGTGCTTGCAAGGCAGGCGCAGAGCCACTGAGCTAAATCCGCAGCCCCTCCAGCGTGTTTTAAATCAATATTCATCTCCTACCACAGAACTGCTCTGTAATCCAGTGTCATAAATTTGAGAAAAAGTATAGTACGAATTGTTTCTTCCTTGCCTCTAAAATAAGAACTCTTATGTTTAATTACGTTCTGTGATAGCTTATTTTAAAAATAAGAACCTAGGATAAAAAAGCATTAATTAAAAGTAATGATTAATCACAAATATATTTATATGTTTAGTAATAAGGCTAAATATATCCTTCTTAAAATAGCACTGTACATTTAAAAAGTAAATTGGAAAGTAATATTGGTTAACAGTCAAGAAAATATGAAATATTCAAAGCTCCAGTCTTAAGTAACTGACAGCTTTAGTAAACTTTACTAAGGTTATACTAAAATATTAAATTGAGTTTATTACACAGATGCAGAGGCATTCCTTTATTCAAGACCAATTAGGAATCAACTTTTCTGGGAATCAATACAATAGCAATTCTGCCCTCCTAAGTCAAATACAAGTAAAGGATCCACCGTACACTGTATATTCAAGCTTTTAAGCCCTTCAAAAAATGTGTATACTCTCATTTAGCAAAGTAAAGAACAGGTAGGATATTCATGAATTCAGAGACAGAAAAACCGATACAAAAAAATAAAATTACTTTTTCCAAGGTCACAAGCTTTCTAAGTAAACCAATAAAAATGAGAATACACTAGCAATATCTGACAGTCAATGATACAGTCTTTCTAGAGACTTCTTTTATGCCAGTATTCCACAAAGAGTCACACAAATGAGCTGCTAAGGCTAAATTTTGGAAAGTAAACTAGATTGAAATTAAACATTTTAAAATGCCAAGATAATGAACTGATCAAAAACTCAAGTGAGTAACTTTTCATTGTTAGTTTATATATACTAATTAGGCAAAGTAGGTGAGAATTTTAAAAGCAGAACAACAGCTTTTCAGAGAAGAAGGTAATTTTACTTTATCTGTCTCAGGTTTGTGGTTACTCCAAATCATTTCCCAGCAGATTTTTAATTATTTTTATTTTCCTTTGTAAATAAAAAATTAACTCTATAGCATAATTTCAGAATTAGCTGAGTTTTGGACCACAGAGACCTATATAATGTCTTCTATGGAAGGTGAAGATAGCTAAAGTTATTTCAATAAAATATTTATAAGAACTTAAAATTTTAATTACACAAATACCAGAACACAAGGGATATGAAGAGTTGAAGCATTTTTCCTACTGGAAATCTTTTGTGGGAACTGTTAAAAAGATCACTTGGGGCTGGACATGGTGGCTGGCACACACCTGTAATCCCAGGACTCAGGAGGCTGAGGCAGGAGGATCACTGTGAGATCAAGCCCAGCCTCAAGTACACAGCCAGACCGTGGCTCAACCTCTTACAAAGAAAGGTCTAAGGATGGGTAAAAACAAATAGAAGAAGCAAGAGGTAGACAAGTTTCAGCTCCAGGAGTCAGGAGTCACTCCTAGAAACAATACCGTTTGCCCATATTGTGCTTCAAGGTTTTTTGTTTTACAAGCAAGACCTACCTATTCCTATGCATCTCCCACACTGGCCTTCTATAGGTATTGTTTCACAATCACTGGTTAGGTGTTGCACTTATTTTGCGCTGAGCCTTCTGTGAAGTTTGCACAGCGACTAAAACAACCTTGATAATTTAGATACTATTTAGTAACGGGGTTATGAAACAGCCAAATGGATTAGGCAAGCAGTGGAAGCAAGCAGAGTCTACAAAGTAATTCAACAGCTGCATCAAACCAAGAACACAGGTTGCCTAACTCTTAGTCCAAAGTTGGCTTGCTGAATGTAGATTCCCTAAGGTGAATACGGCTATACAGAAACTCTTTCGCCTAGAACTTCTATGGGTGAGTCAAGTGTTAGAAATAAGTACAAGAACATGCTAATAAGGAGTACTATCAGGTCTTATGTAGAAACTGGTAGCATGTTCAAGAGTAGTTAAAAAAAAAAGATAAAGGAGAAACTACAGGGGTTTTTTTGATATGCATTATTCCCAGAGTTCAAGGTCAGTGATACCTGGGAATGGTAAGACACCCATCTCCGTGTTAGGGTGTAGGTACGAACAACCGAGACAAGTTTCAGTCTACTTTTGGGAGATGTGTAAGTCAAAAAGGGAGTTCTGAGAAGTAAGCAATAAGAGAGTGAAAAGAAAAATAAAACTGACCCTTGATGTAGAGAAGTGTACACAGTACATACTGCTGTGTATGCATGAGCTAATGTTTGTGTATATTTTTCTAAACGAATTAAGAAGGACAAGAATGCAACAAAACCAACCCTAAACATCATACTTATTTTACTTGGGTGGAGAGATTATGGATAAGCACTTAAAACTGTATACTCACTTATGGAATCCAACTGACCAACAAATGCCTTCCAAGAGCCTTGAATTCTTTAGGAGGAACGACGGGGGCACTTTGGAACTGATGGTCAGGCCACCAGACACCAAAATTATGACGTTCAGAAGGAAAGACAAAGGCCGCCCTAAGTGCAGGGAACAGCTATAAAGAAGGGACATGCTAACACGGGTCAGTGTGAGCGCCGAGGAAGACTGTGGCGCTTGACTCAGACAGCAATGCTTTTTGCCCACACTAGATGGGGTCCCGCTCAAAGGCCCTCACCCGGAAGTTTCTGAACTCTGGGAAGGAGGGGGAAAGGTCACACAGCAGTGGAAAGGGAGCAGTCCTGGAGGGTCAGAGGGCTGGGAGGGTGCTCAAGAGCACTGACAGCCAGGACGGAAGCATCGCTCCCAGGTGGGGTCAGCAGCTGCCAGGGCCCTGTGACTTGCAGCACAGACACTGGTGCACGGAAAGGAGGCCACAGGAGCCCGACGCTTACACGTCCCAGGGGTGCTTGCCGTGGTCCTGGTCCCCCAGCTAGAGTGACTTAGCTGGACCAGAGTGGCCACAGTCATGTCTCCTCACACAGAGCTGATGGAGCTGGGGACACAGAGGACCATGTCAACAGCTGAAGCCAGAGGCTTCTCTCTCCCGAAGACTTTCTGCAGCTGTGGGTTACAAGCCAAGCTCCAAACACGTTAAGGGCACGGGGTTCAGAGAGCCACGTCGGGGAAGGAATGTGTGGAGCAATAACATCTATGCAAGTCCCAGGATCCACAACCCCCAGCTACTTCCCAGGAGAATTTGGGAAGATGTAGGTGCTATCCAACAGCCCAAGGTCTGTGCTCATCAAAACCTCCTGAAAACTTCATTTTCTCTCTACACAAACAACAAAAACGGCTTCTCGCAATGTTGGCTTTCCCGAAAGTCAGAAATATTGTAAAGAAACTATAGTGAAACCTGGCCACATCTATTTTTATTCACACAAGAGTGCTTTCAATAGTCAAGTCTGAATAGTCAGCGGAGAGATTTAATATTTTATCTTACTTAGAGCCTGCCAATTCAGAAAGTAAATACTCTTGTGAACAAGTGTTTAACAGAAAGCTAAACCAAATAAAGTAGGGCTGAGAAAGTTTAAGTGGTTAACTGAAAAAGACCAAACAATGTACAGTGCATACTTAAGTTTTCAAAGATGTGGACCAATTCAAAAATCTATGCCCAGTTCTGAGAATTAGCAAACCAAGTAGGATCTCCTCTGATCAGCCATATAGCCTTTTAAGTACTCCCATAATTTCAATACCCAGGAACAATCAATGATGCAGTCAGCCACCTTAAACCTTTATTTGCATGAATTGCAGGAAATAACAGCTAGTGGAGCCCCTATTCAACTGTATTTGACTCAAAGTTTTAGTTGGAAGAAATTTAATGGAGTTATGGTTCAGTTGCTGTTCAAGACTCAGAATTATGTAAGGATTAAAACCCGGTGACCACTCTGTATTAAATAAAACATACATCTCAAAATCTTCCTTTTAATCCTAATACACAACTGTAATATGAATACAAACACAATTTTTAAAAAATTCTTTAAAAGCAGTAAAACCCTGGACCTCACTGGAATTCTATTACATAATATGCTTAAAAACGTTAACTTGGAGGGTTCGCGTGAGGGACGTATTTTCTTATGTGGCAGTTTCAGTTTAGGAAAAAGTTCCCATGTACCATTTTAAGGAGTGCTAAATATTTCTGTTCTGGAGAAAACGACTCAACTTCACGGTCATTACCACACTTGTCGGCTGCGTCTGTGAAACAGTCTATTTGGAGGGCAAGTTAACAGGTTCCTGGGGCTCAAGTTCGCTTAAAATACAGACCAAGACCACCAACAACAGCAACAAGGAGTCACCTTGGCACGAAGATCATCAAGAACCCGTGCGCGTCTCCCTTCGCGCGGTCCCTGCCCTGGGCGATGCCCGCGAGCGTCACCCGGCCGGGTCGCGCTGCCCGCGTCTCCTGACCCAGGCCCGCCGCAGCCTCCTCCCCTGGGCGCCTGGCTCGACTGCCCGCGGGGCTGTCAGCAGCCGGGGCTCGCGGAGTTCGCGGGTCCCGGGGTCGCCCTGGCCGCGGCCTAGCGCCGCCCGCGCGTCCCCCCGCCTCACCTGCGCGGCCGCGGCGCCTCTCCCGGCGCCGGTCGCTCTCGTAGAAGCCCAGCGTCTCCGTGTGCTGAGGCGCCGGCGGGGACCCGTGCCCGCCGCCACCGCGGCCCGGCTGCTCTGCCTCGCCGCGGCCGTCCCGCTCCTGGACGCCCGCGCCGCCTTCTCCCGCGGCAGCCGCGTCGCCGACGCCCGCCATGTTCCGCGCGCCACCAACCGCCGCCGCCGCCGCCTCCCTCCAGCTTGCGGCCCTGCCTCCGCCC